AACAGTTGAACTGAGTGAAAGATCATATAGGACGTGAGTACTGCTGTCTGCTAAACTACTCCATGAGGTTGGTGTTACTTTGCTGAGTCGCCATTTTAGAGCCACACTGACACAGAGAGAGATACCAAGTGGAATTTCCCGCCAAGTCACTGTACTGATTTTACCAGCACCAGAGACTAGTAAAAGTATGTGTCGTCTCCCTCGATTGTCTGCAAAAGTCTGATTACATACTTATATCGGAGACAGTAAAATTACAGAGTAATCCCTAAATGAAGATATGTGCTAAAGGTGAGAACAAGCCATTTACCAGGATTGCTACTATATTTTTCAAAAACATTTTTGTAGGATTTGCTGATGAAATCAGCCACATCCTGTTTAACAGTTCACCTATGTTAAAAAGAGCTCCAACGGGGGCCCCATCTAGAGACTGTATTTTTGGACCTTTTGTTCTGGTCAGATATCAGGAGACAAGGGAGTGTTTGGCACTCATTATAGTTAAGTGCTGGTAACTATTTTATGCAGTAACATTTATACTTGTTAATATATGTGTGTTTGGTATAGGACATCTTGGGGTTTATTTACTAAAGCTGGAGAGTCCAAAATCAGACTCCCTTCTGCATAGAAACCAATCAGCTTCTAACCTCAGCTTGTTCAATGAAGCTTTGGCAATGAAACCTGGAAGCTGATTGGTTTCTATGCAGAAGGGAGTCTGATTTTGCACTCTCCAGCTTTAGTAAATAAACCCCCTTATGTCCATAAGTTAATATACATGATTATCCAATATGATTACTAAGATTCACTATGGAATAAATCCCCCAGGGGAAATTTTATCTCTTAAAGCCAGTGTGTGTTTCATTGGATTCTGCTGTGTCGTCAGTCCAGGTAAGAGCTGTGAAACCCACATCATATACCAATATATTGCTAACACCCTCGGTGTGCTACACATAAAAATAATATTACAGCGCAAAAATAAACCAGCAATAATAATAATAGCATCATTGATAAAAATAAATAATAAAGTCGACTGTCCCAAATTAAAATGGTGAAAAAAGTGCTATAATCAAAAACAAGTGCCAAAGAAAAGTTCAATGTGTTCCTTAAATCATATCCTCACACCATCCGCGATCACCTTACGGTATAATCCCACACTCAGAGGAAGGTGATCACGGATGGTGTGAGGATATGATTTAAGGAACACATTGAACTTTTCTTTGGCACTGTTTTTTGATTGGAGCACTTTTTTCACCATTTTAATTTCGGACAGTGGACTTTATTATTTATTTTTATCACTGATGGTATTATTATTGTTGGTTTATTTTTGCACTGTAGTATTATTTTTACAATTTTCTAAACAACTGTGCCACTACCAGAAACATTCCTTGAATTAGTTTTCTGGAATGCTACACAGTATCTTTGTTGCTGCACTCTCGATGTCCAGAATGTCATCAAAAGGCATTTTTTAATTTTGGAAACAGCTAAAGTCAAGGGAATGCGGTGGTTGGTCAAATTTCGGAATGGATTTCTAGGCCAGGAACTTGCAAACACTTAACGCATCATGTGCAGGAGCATTGTCATAATCGAGAATCCACTTGTCAGGCCAGAGTTCTGGTCTTTTTCCTCAGAACAAATTACTGTAACGTTTTCAGAATTTCCAAGTAATAGTGTTGGTTGACCATTGTACCATGTTCTGTGAACCCATAGTGAACTATCCTCTTGTGATAAAAAAAAAACATACCAGCATGGTTTTTGAACTGAGAACGAGACATGCGTGCTTTCTTTGAGTGAATTCTTTGTTTTCCACTGCATGCTCTGACCGGGGGCGGACTGACAACTCATGGGGCCAGCGGGCAATAGGGGATCATTCGGCCCCTGTGTCCTTGCTCAAATAAAAAAAAAACTATCAAAAAGGTACCAGGGGCATCTCATGGGGCCCCCTGCTGACCCCGGGCCCTCGGCAGTGCCCGAGTTTCCAAATAGTCAGTCCACCCCTGGCTCTGACGTTTTGTTTTTGGATCATACCATGAAAACACCTTGTTTCATCACTTGTAATAACACCTCTGAAATTTTCAAAAACTTTAATGAGACTTGAAGACAATTTTTTTTTGAACTTTTGTCAAGATCTGAGGCACTATCTTTGTGAAAATCTTTCTCATTCCCAAATCCTCCATTAGAATGTGCTGCACGGTTTCCTTGTTCATGCTCAATTCTGCTGCCATCAGTTGCACACTCAGTCTTCAATTTGAACGTACGAGGTTTCGCACTCTGTCCAAGTTTGCATCCATCTTTGTGTTTTTGGCTGCCCACTTCCTCCGTCACCGAGGACATTTTTCTGCCCTTCCTATACCATTCAAAAACACTTGATTTCTTCATGGACTGTTCACCACAAGCCTGTTGTAACAGAACTAAAGTTTCCATTGCACTTTTGTAAATTTTCACACAAAGCTTGATGTTAATCCGCAGCTCCAGAATCATGTCACTCATTTTCCGCCAACAGTGCAATGCACACACATGTTATTTCTTCTACTACTCAGTAAAGACTGAGTTAACTGGTCTGTGACCGAGTGCAAGTTAAAACATTTCAGAACACATTTAAGTGCCAATGGCTGGGTGACTCACCGCCATTGTGCTATGCTGCGGACATTCCAGGAATTAAATTTCACACCTACACCATCTTACTTTTTCCACACTCCCCTCCACCCTTCAGAGTCCAGTGTAGCACCTGGTAAGGTAATGTGAGATGGTTGGCTCAATTCAGTGGCAGACCTATGGATGCAGCCTGTACTGGGTAGTACAATTCAGGTGGTGCCCACATTGCTGGAATTTTTATTCTTTTTTTATGTGTCCTTGTTTACAAAGTGTCACTAAGCAATGCTAGACTGTCGGGAGGTGGGTAGGAGAAGGAGGACAGGACTGAATTGATGTCACCCTCCTCCTGTCTAAGTTCAATTCACTGACAGCAGTCAGTCATAGCATGCAGCCATACAACACACTCTGTCCTCCTCCTCTATTAGAATTTGTCATGTTGCTGCTTCTAAAGAAGACTGTGGTTGCTTCCTTTCACAAAAAAACAGTGACCGAACATTTTGATAGTCCAATGCATGAGTCACATTTCAGACCCACTGTTAGCACAACTTTTGGCCAGACCCACAACAATGTGTGCCATGAGCATTGCTCTACAATGCTAGTGAAAATAGTTTTGATGTATGTGTGTATAAAAAAAATGATTGGCCCCTGAGTACCAGACATGCTTAGTACACGACTGGCCCAATCATATCTGGCTTAACGAAACATTTGGGTGGCAGAATGCCCTGTATGCAGCAGTTTGTTTGGATCTACATTGAAATAAAGCAAATGAATGAATTATAGATAAAGCACTGAGAAAACTGTTGGTGCTACATAAATCCTGTATAATAATAATAATAGATGAAGTGCTTTATGTCATCTGTCATGATGGTAAGGGGGTACTCTAGGGCTGGCAAGGTGAAAGGTTAACATACAGTGAATGTATATAATAATGAAACAGAAAAGTTACCAAGGACTATGGTGATTTATTTATTTTTATTTCAAGTACTCATATAGCGCCGCCAATTCACGCAGCGCTTTACATTTGTATTGTACATTCACATCAGTTCCTAACCCTCAAGGAGTGTACAGTCTAAGGTTTGTAACTTACATTCATACATACACATACTAGGGCAAATTTAGAGAAAAGCCAATTAATCTACCAGCATGTTTTTGGAGTGTGGGAGGAAACCGTAGTACCAGGAGGAAACCCACGCAGGCACAGGGAAAACATGCAAACTACAAGCAGGTGGTGCCGTGGTTGGGATGCAAACCAATGACCCTTAGTACTGCCAGGCAAAAGTGCTAACCATTCTAAGCTATACCAGATCTACAGTATATGTTGAAGAAATAGAAAGCTGAGGTTTTTGACAAACTGGTTGGTTAACAGTACAACTCTAAAAACAACTCTATAGAGTGGTTGAGGGAAGAAGTTTAAAGAAAATGCCTTATAAACCTGCCATACCCAGGGGTGTTGTTAGAAACCACAGGGCCCCATGCAGCCAATCTGACAGGGCCCCCTAAAAAAGACAGCTTACTACGCTCTAGTTATGAGTGAACACAGTGAGTGTTCAGTACCAATTACTCGTTGTGCTCATTCAGGAAAGGAGGGACTGGTAAATGTGACATATATACTGGACCCTTCCCTTCACTCTCCATCCTGAAGGATTCTATTGTGTGCTTGCAGCTGCAGGTGGGAAGGAGAGGAGGAAAGCTGGCAGGGGGGTGGGGGTACACTGGGGTGCCTGGGCAGCAGGGGGAAACATATGGTGCACAGGGAGGGTGATGGGTACACTTACTGGGGGCAATTACTGGAACTTTCTCTGCAGCAGCTGAAAGTCAGTGGGAAGGAGAGGAGAAGAAGCCACCTTTCAGTTTCTGCAGAGACAGCCATATAGGGGATCATTTCCAGTAACTGCCCCCCCCAACCATTCCGATCACCCTCCCTGCCCACACCTGATTCACACAGTTGCCTGGGCCCCCTACTGGCCTGGGCCCCGTACAGGAGGACTAGTGGTACCCCCTTATCCCTGGCCATACCTATAGGAAGAGATACATAATCTTTGTGATGAAATGTTTCTTAAATAAAATTAAAAACTGACAGATGGAATACCAAAGATCTGCAAAGCTGTAATTGCTGCAAATGGAGGATTATTGGATTAACATAAATACTGCTGAATGGAATTGTTTTATGAAATAAAAAGAATTCTATGACATTGCCAATGTGTAATTTCACAGTCTTCTGCTGTAATACGATCAGTCAAGTGCAGCAAAACACTAAGAATACTCAGCTGTCAGAGAGTGACGTCTAAACAGTGATATAGACATCCAAAGCAGGAGCCTCCCCTCCAATGAAGACAATAGCAAACTTGGAGCCTGGAGAGTCACTTGACTAATGACTAGGGTACATTTTTCAGATTTCAGAATCTATATATCATACCAAGCATACTTGATGCCCAAGACTGTGTTACAGTACCTGTTGGTACCAGAATGTCTGTGCATCAAGGTTCTGGTCTGTCCTGTCAGAGACGAGACATTATATCTGACCTAGGGGTAGAGTTCACCTACACGTTTTGTCAGGAACTCCCCAAGAAGCTGCAGATCCACTATCCCTTGTTATTATGGTACCATACTCAGACCAAAGAACAAATCACACCCTGGAACAATACTTCAGGTGTTTCTGTTTGGCTTTCCAGGATAATTAGGTTATGGTGATCACCAAAGATGGGTTAACAATGCATTGCACTCTGCCACCTCACAATTATAATATTTCATCCTGCTTCTCTCCCTAGCTGCTCTACTGAATCTCCAGTTTGGGAGGTGCAAGATAGGGTTATGTTTTTAACTTTTAACTTGAATAAGCTCTAGTCTTTTTTATCCTAATCCCAAACAAGGGGCTTACAAGAAACGGAACGGAGTGATTGTCCTTCCTTTAAAACTGGTGAGTTGGTATGGCTTTCTAACATTGTTTACATTAAAATTCTTTTAGGTAATAATTATGACATTAAATGAATACTAACTATAGCCAGAAAAACAGATATTTTAACCTTAACATTATACAAGGCATTAAAAAAAACACACATAAAGGATAGAATGAGAGGGCTTAATATTGGCACACATTGTGTGTGTCAGCAAAACATAATGACATCGTTTTATAGTGACAGGCTTGCAGGTGGTTAAATTATAGTAATATGGTCCTCTAAACAAAGAGCATTGACTTGGCAACATGTAGTACAGTAACAATACACAAGCAGAAAATGTGACAATATGTGGACAGCAAACAAGCAATTGAGACAATACACAGGCAGCAAATGGGCAAGTCTTACAATATACTTGCATCAAAACAAGCAACCATGACAATATGGGGGAAGCCAATTGGCAAACATTACAATACACAGTTAGCCAACGGGAAGTCATGACAATATGTGGCCATCAAATGGCTATTGTTTCAATATACTGGCTAAAAATGGGTAAATACAGCCCACAAGCTGCAGCAGTCCATATTTTTGAAAGCTGAAAAGCAACCCAATACTGGGCAGAATGAATGCTATATTGTTAGTGAGAAGAGATTAGTTGGGAGGGAAAAGTACGATTACTCTTTTATTCCAATTTTCCCTGTCTTATTTCTTCTCACCGACAATGCATTTCATCCAGGGTTTCAAGAAAATGCTGAAACAGCTTGGGCAACTATCATTTCACTAGAGAAGTGGTCTTCAAACTGAAGCCCTTTGCTTGCCTTTATCTGGCCCTTAAGATGCCATTCCTGCAACTGACAAGGGCAATGGGGCACTATTCCTCCCACTGACAGCAACAATGGAGCACTATTCCTCCCAATGGCACCAAGGATGGGGCACTATTCCTTCCACTGACAGCTACAATGGATCACTATTCCTCACAAAAGCACCAACAATGGGGCACTATTCCTCCCACTGACAGCAAAGATGTAACACTATCCCTCCCAATGGCACCAACAATGGGGCACTATTCCTCCCATGGATACCAATGGTGGGGCACAATTCTTCCAATGACAATGATGGAGCACTATTCCTCACAATGATAGGGCACTATTTATTTATTTCAGGTACTTATATAGTGCCATTAATTTACGCAGCGCTTCACATATATATTGTACATTCACATCAGTCCCTAACCCTCAAGGGGCGTACAATCTAAGGTCTCTAACTTACATTCATACATACACATACTAGGGCCAATTAACCTACCAGCATGTCTTTGGAGTGTGGGATGAAACCGGAGTACCCAGAGGAAACCCACGCAGGCACAGGGAGAACATGCAAACTCTGGGCAGGTTGTGCCATGATTTGGATTCGAACCAACGACCTTAGTACTGCCGGGTGGAAGTGCTAACCATTTAGCCACTGTGCTGCTATTCCTACAATACTAATTATGGGGATCATTGTTTACTCATACGATGCTAAGGCATGTTCTGCTTCTGGGGACCCACAGTCCAGCCCCCTTAACCGCCTCCCGCCCACCATATAGTGTAATGACGGGTGCAAGGCGGTTCTCTCGTTCTGGGAGGACGTCATATGACGTCGTCCCATTCTAATCGCACATGCGCGGCTCCGGGAGCTCACAGCGCGGCGATCGGTGGTGCGCTGTGTCCCTCGGAGACAGTGGATCAACGATCAACGGAAAGAGCCAAAGATGTCAGCTTGGTCATGTGATCAGCTGTGTCAAATCACAGCTGATCGCATGTAAATAGGGAAATGCCGGCTATCAGAATTTCTCTCCTCACGCTGACAGCTCAAGAGGAGAGCAGAGCCGGTAATCAGCATCCTCAGAGGGGACATGTACACTGATCATCAGTGTGCTCTGATGATCTGTGTAGCCCCATCAGTGCCACCTGTCAGTGTCCATCAGTGCCAGCTGTCAGTGCTCATCCATGCCACCTGCCAGTGCCCATCAGTGCCACATCAATGCCACATTTCAGTGCCTACCAGTGCACATCAATGCCACAAATCAGTGCCCATCTGAGCTGCCTTTCAGTGTCACCCATCAGTGCCAGTCAGTGCCACCTATCAATGCCAGTCAGTGCCACCTATCAGGGCTGCCAATTTGTGCCGCCTATCAGTGCCAGTCAGTGCCGCCTATCAGTGCCAGTCAGTGCCGCCTATCAGTGCCCATCAGTGCTATCAGTGCCGCCTAACAGTGCCAGTCAGTGCCACCTAACAGTGCCAGTCAGTGCCGCCTATCAGTGCCAGTCAGTGCCGCCTATCAGTGCCACCTATCAGTGCCATATATGAGTGCTGCCTTTCAGTGCCCATCAGTGATGCCTGTCAATGCCCATCAGTGCCACCTACCAGTGCCTCCTCATCAGTGCCCATCAGTGCCACCTATCAGTGCCCATCAATGCAGCCTCATTAGCTCACATCATGAAGGAGAAAAATCACTTATTTACAAAATGTTATAACAAAAACTAAGAAAATATTTTTTTTTCAAAATTTTCAATGTTTTTGGTTTGTTTAAGAAAAAATAAAAAACTCAGAGGTTATTAAATACCACCAAAATAATGCTCTATCTGTTACAAAAAAAATTATAAAAATTTCATATGGGTACAGTGTTGCATGACTGCGCAATTGTCATTCAAAGTGTGACAGCGCTGAAAGCTGGAAATTGGCCTGGGCAGGAGGGGGGTATAAGTGCCCTGTAGGTGAGAGGTTAATATCTGAAGTACAATAAACTGACCCTTTGTTTAGAAAGTTTGGAGACCCCGGCACTAGAGGTAAACAGTTATATGTATACACAAGCTTTCATGGATTTCCACAATGCTATAAGATGGGGTAAATAATCAGATAATTATGAAATCTATTTCATCTTATGCTGGCAGCTTAGCAATGACCTAAGGGTGGCATCATAGTTCATTTAATAGACACAAGGAATGACTTGGAAAGTGAGCTTGTGCTGAAAGTGTGGCAGGCAGCAAAGTAAAGGTTTGCCTACAGAGCTCTACTGTAACATAAATTACCCTGTATGGCTGTAGGTGCCCTAACTATCTAAATTGACAAGGAGGTGGGGTGCAAGTTTTGGTGACTCCTGAAAACACAGTGGAGATACTCTTCAAAGCTGACTTCCAGGCAAACAGCTCTGCCACACAGCACAGTCATGTCTGCCAAGGCAGAAGGCCTATTTTTTCTCTGCTATAGCTAACATTTAATCCTTTCGCTGCCAGGTCTGTACATCATACAGATCTGACAGCGGGGGGTTTTAGATTTAGTGGAGTTAAATTTGGGTGAATTAGATTCAGTGGAGTAGTGCACTGCATTAGATTCAGAGGAGCACAGGGGATACATCAGGGTTTTTTAAGACTGCGGATGTCTCATTAAAGAGAACCTGTCACCAAATATTTATCACAAAGTGGACTTTTTGTCCCCTATGTGTTAAGAAAAAAGTTTAGTCAGAAAATTAAGTCCTGCTAAATAAATCCAGTAATACACTGTCTCACTCTGCTCTACACATTCCCAGTTGCTCTCTATTTTTTGGGCACTGTGCCGAAAATGTAGAGGCCAATCTGCTGACAGTCTAAAGATTTACTGCTACTCAGGGCTCTGGGCTTCAGCAAAATGGAAGCCTCCAGCAAGAAGAAACAGGAGCAAAGATGGAAGCAATTTACAGCACACGGTCATTTTGGCAGCATATTTGTTAATGTGGAATGTATGATCCTGGCTAAGGAACACTAAAATTAATTAAAATATATATATATATATATATATATATATATATATTAAAGTTACACCCAAGCACATAACCTCCCCCCCAAAAATGCAAACGTACTTGTCAGGAGCCCCTATGCATGAAAACATTGACTGAAATACACATATTACATATTGCGCACACTCTAGAATGAGAGAAGTATCTCTAACACTAGATCTCCTCCATAAAACTAAACTGATTACCTATAAGGGGCTTTTAATGATTTTCTTATGGAAAATAAAAACAGGGGCGGACTGACAACTCATGGGGCCCCCAGGCAATAGGGGATCATGGGGCCACTGTGTCCTTGCCCACACTCAAAGCACACCCAAAAAGACCTATAAAAAGGTACCAGGGGCATTTCATCAGGCCCCCTACTGACCCTGGGCCCTCGGGCAGTGCCCGAGTGCTCGAATGGTCAGTCCACCCCTGATACTGAAGTTTGTTGCCATTTCAAATTTATTTAAAATTTTAGGTTTGACACGTTGGGTATATAAATCATGAAATTCAAACAACAAACCTATAAAAACTTGATCCTTTACATAGAGGGATATGTGATTATATAATAGTGAGATTATGATGGAATACAATGACGCTCAATGGCGTGATCAATACTGATAAGTGCAAACGTCCAAAATCTGCGTTATGAAGTGCACAGTGATAATGATGATAACTCTCAAGGTATCAGGAATCTAGGAATGACCAGAAAGGTGTGGACTGACAACAGGGAAGCGCAGGCTTCAGGTATAGTATATTAATACAGTTTCTTATTAGCCACCCAGATATGTATAAACGCACAGTGAACAAACCAACCTTCCACTAATCTTAGTAGGTGCAGGAACACAGGCATAGTCAGGGCTGGAGAGGTGGAATGGTCAGGCCGGCAGAAGGGTTCTGTAACGACCGCCTGGTGGTACCTCTAGCGGTCCTCAGGGCAGGATTCCCCAGGGCGCGGAGTCTAAGTCCCAGTCTGCTTATTCACCAGGGCCCCTGATGGTGGGGATGGACTTGGAGCAGACAGTAACCAGGTCGCGGCCCCTGAGTACACCTGCTCGTGGTAGAGGGATCCGCTAGAGGTATGTGCAGGTAGAAAGCCTGATGTGAAGAGGCAGAAGGTGTGAACAGGGACGGCTGGATCCGTGCAGGATGGATGGATGGCAGAGTAGTTAGTGTGGTCAGATGGGCAAGGTCAGCAACGTGCGGGCAGCGAGGTACCGAAGGAGCAGGCAGAGAATGGTCAGGGTCACAAGCTGGGTTCAGTAACTCACGGGCAGCGCAGTACAGAGGATCAGGCAGAGAATGGTCAGGGTCACAAGCCGGGTTAAATAGGAGACGGTCAGCAGAGGTCAGGATCAGGCAGGGTTGGCAACAAATCAGACAGGCAGAGGAACAGGCACACAGGATACAAGATACAGGGGCTCATGGGAAAACATACACCAAGGCCCTGACCACAGGCCTGGTCATTCCTTAAATACACCTTCTGCAATCAGCCCAGGTGTTGGCTGATTGCAGGAGTGAGCTTATGGCTGCTGAGAGCACCCGCTGGTCAGCCCTGGTACTGCAGCCCACATGGCAGGTGAGTCCCACCACCATTGGCAAGTCCATTCCTGACACAAGGCAGAGTGATGAAAACTGGTGACTTCTGTGACCGTGTTCCTTCTAGGGTGATGAGTAAAGATTGCACTAACCGGAAAGCGCAATTTAATGCATGTTTGAGTAATTAATAACCAACTCCTGGTCATCCACATCTGGGAACTGGATCACAGCGGGGGTCATCTGGCCAGCGTCGCAACCTCAGGGTCTCCAGGTACCAGGGAAAAAGCAATCTTCTCACCAGCAGGGGGAGCCAGTCTCACCAATAATGTAGCAGCCACCAGGTCATCATGGTATGCCTTGAAGAGGGGGGGGCTCGGGAGTAATGAGTCAAAACACAGAGAATCCAGATAGTGTAGTACTTTATCAGAACAGCGGGAGTGTATGGCACAGATAAGAACTCACATGCTGCAGCCTGGAAGCTGGCAAGGAGAAATCCAAGATGGCCGCTGGCCGTCCACATGGGCTGTGCGGAGTGACGTCACAGGGTACCTCTAACGCGTTTCGTGCCCATGCACGTTGTCAAAGGGAGTATGCCTCCTGTTCTGACATCTCTTATATTCCGTACCACGCGCATGCGCAGTAGCGCACCTTGGACTATCTACTTTCCAGAAATGGGTCATTTGGGGGGTATTTTGTACTTTCCTGGAATGTTAGGGCCTCAACAAATAAGATAGGCTGTCAGTATATCAGGTGTGATCATTTTTCAGTGATTGGTACCACAGCTTGTAGACTCTATGACTTACACACAGGCTACATAATATGCACTGGTTTGGGTTATTTTTTACCAAAGAAATGTAGCAGTATAAATTTTGGCCTAAATTTATGTAGAAAAATTAAATATTTGCTAAATTTTATAATAGAAACTATGAGAAACGCATTAAAAAAAAAAAAAAAATGTTTAGTTTTTTTTAAATTATATCTCAAAAAATAAAAACCAAGTGATGAGTAAATACATACCACCAAAAGAAAGCTCTATTTGTGTGAAAAAAAAGGATAAAAATTGTGTTTGGGTACAGTGTGACTGAATAATTGTCATTTAAGTGTGAGAGCACTGAAAGCTGAAAATTGGTCTGGTCAGGAAGGGGATATAAGTGCCCAGTATTGAAGTGGTTAACAGACCAGATAGAAAATTAGTGTAAAATGTGGTTTTCACAAACGTTTGGTCTCCCTTGCTGTTGATTTGATTTGGTAGACCTTCATTTAAGTTAGGTGAAGAAGCATAATACGTTTTCTGATCCTTTCAACCTCTCAAGGTGCTGTGTTTATATCCAGCAACCATGGGCTCTGCTAAACAGATAAATGAGGATCTAAAACCAAAGCTGCTTCTAACAAAGTAAGGAAAGCTTATTCGACTTTATATAAAAACATGGTTGAAATGCTCACATTTTGGTGTGTTATTATGAAATAAAAGTTTAAGTGGTAATAAACTCAAAAATTAAAGTGTAGTATACTGCAGACAGTTAATCCCTAAAGGACAACTCCACTTTTGTGAAAAAATAAATTAAAAAAAATATATAACATATATAATTGATATTCAAGTCATATTGTAACTGAATGTTATTAAATATGATTGTTCTTTTGCTGCCGTGCTATCATTTTCTGTAAACTTCAATGCAATATTGCAACCTGGAGTCCTGTACAAAGCTGGTGTACAAAAGAAATAGAAATATCATTTTCTGCTTGTGTAATTGGCACACTGATTTTTCTAGAAGTTTGCATTAAGATACAAGTAACATTTTTGGCATCCTCTGCAATAGAATTTATATTTTTTGGTGAAACCTGATCTGCTTAACTCAAGGCTAAACTTCTTTCTGTTATCTCTTTGCTGTGCTATTGTTCTCTGTATATTTATATATATATAGGCTACATCTTTTTCTGTAAATATTTTTATTGCACCCTTTTGACCTTTTAGTAATAAATCTTATTTTCTGAAAGTGTTGAACTTTTTCTAAAGCTCTTTAATGCAAACTAAGAATCCCTGCCTCTGAAAAGCGCTACTGTGTGTGTGTTTTAAACTTTGGTATATCTCTGCCTGTGGTGACAGTGGTATACCGACGATTATTCAAACATCATAGTGTTATTGCTGATATTGCTGAGTTTCCTCTTTCTCTGTATAAAAAGGAGGTGGTGGCAGTGTGAAGGGTTAATTGCATAATTAACCTGACCCAGTAACAATTGCCCTCAGGCTGC